TGTTTTTTAGTAGTTTTTTCAAGTATTCTTGGGTTTTACACATTTTTGAGTCCGATTTGTGTTTGTTTTTTTCCTTTTAAATTCTTTTTTTGTTTCCTCTTTTTGTTTTTTGCATGTTTAATGTTGCTCTGGGATGTGAGACCCACATCGATATTCCCAGCAGTAAATCCGTCTCATTCCCAGCATGAGTTGGACTCCACTGTAGCTCAGATCCTGTTTCTGCTCTATGCAGATGATGTGGTTCTGTTGGTGTCATCATGCCCGGTTCAGGTTCAGGGTCCTGAACTGAATAAATGCTCCCTCTGGGTTGGGAACGAACCTTTGTCTCAATTCAATTCAATTCAAAAATACTTTATTAATCCCAGAGGGAAATTGATTGCTGTAGTAGCTCAGAATAATAATAATAATCAAGTCATCAAAGAGTATATTATAACGGCTGTTGGCAGGAAGGATCTCCAGTAGCGGTCAGTGTTGCAGCGAAACTGAAGAAGCCTCTGACTGAAGACACTCTTCTGTTGTTGGACAGTCTTGTGAAGAGAATGCTCGGGGTTGTCCATCATTTTCTTGATTCTCTGGAGAATCCTTCTTTGCATTATCTCCTCCAGTGGTTCCACAGTCGTCCCCAGAACAGAACCAGCCTTTTTTATTAGGCTGTTGAGCCTTTTCAGGTCCCTGCTTCTGATGCTGCTACCCCAACAGATGATGGCTGAAGAGATTACACTCTCAACAACAGATTTGTAGAAGATCTGCAGCATCTTGCTACAGACACTGAAGGACCTAAGCGTCCTCAAGAAGTACAGTCTGCTGTGTCCCTTCTTGTAAACGGCTTCGCTGTTATTTCTCCAGTCCAGTCTGTTGTCCGGGTGAACTCCAATGTATTTGTATTCCTCAACCACCTCCACTTCTTCTCCCATGATGGAAACAGTGTTTGACTCCACCGTTTCTTCTGAAGTCTAAAATCTTCTCCTTTGTTTTGTTCACGTTCAAGGTCAGATGATTGTTTCCACACCATTCCACAAAGCGCTCCACCAGCTCTCTGTACTCAGCTTCCTGTCCATCTCTGATACACCCGACAACTGCAGAGTCATCTGAGTATTTCTGTAGATGACAGGTCTCTGGTTTGTACTGGAAGTCTGAGGTGTACAGGGTGAAAAGGAATGGTGAGAGTACAGTCCCCTGTGGTGCTCCAATGTTACTGATCGCCTGATTTGATGTGCAGTTCTTCAGCCTCACAAACTGTGGTCTGTTTGTCAGGTAGTCTTTAATCCAGGCGATAGTTGAGGCCCCCACCTGTGTCTTCTGGAGTTTCTGGCAAAGTACATCCGGCTGGATTGTGTTAAATGCACTGGAGAAATCAAAGAACATGACCCTGACAGTGCTGCCTGATTTGTCCAGATGACAGTGGATTGGTTGAAGCAGCTGGATGATGGCATCTTCAACTCCATCTCCATGGCGATAAGCAAACTGCAGCGGGTCCTGATATGTTCTAGTTTGCTTATTCAGGTGGACCAACAGGAGTCTCTCCAGGACCTTCATGATGTGGGATGTCAGGGCAACCGGTCTGTAGTCGTCATTGACTGATGGGCGAGTTTTCTTTGGAACTGGAACAAGGCAGGATGTCTTCCACAGGACTGGAACCTTCTCCTGGGCCAGGCTGAGGTTGAAGAGGTGCTGCAGAATCCCACCGAGCTGCTTTGCACGGGCCTTCAGTACTCTGGGGCTGACACCATCTGAACCTGCAGCCTTGTTCAGAGCGGGGGTGGGGGGTGGGGGGGTTAGAGTCATGTTTTATTACTGAGCTCTGTTGTGGCTTATTATTAATAATGTGACAATCAGCTGAAACTGTTGAGAAAAATCTGTTCAAACAAAATAACAGAAGATGTTCAGAAAGTTTGAAGCCTGTGTTCATCATTAACAAACCGCATCTCAGGTCATCTGCGTTTACATGCTTTTAACACGGACGTTACTGTCGTCCAGAGTATTTAACCGAGGACGTTTTCCTACCCAACATCAGCCTCCAATCAGGTCTTTAAAACCCATATTATCCTGTGTTCTTTACAAGCGCGTCTCCATCGCCTGCTGCAGAAGCTGCTGCGTTCAAAGCTGACAGAAACGGGGATCCGTGCGCTGCAACCCCCGCAATAAACCTGCGTGTTTGTCAAATGATTTGTGCAATAATCAGATTTTTATTTTACTTCCACAAAATGCAAGTTCTGAATTAAATATTACTGAAACCTGCTCATGCAGGTGTCTCTTTCTGTTCCGACGCTGCGACACGTGTTTTTAATTTATTAAGCCTACAATTTATTTTTACTCAGTAACGGAAATGATTTAAAATGTAGCGAATTACAATTCTTTTTTAAAAACGTACTCAAGTAAAAATAAAAGTACAGATTTTAAAAATGACTTAAAAAGTATAAACATACAAAAAAGCTGCTCAATTACAGTAACGTGAGTAAATGTAATTCGTTACTTTCCACCTCTGGAATCGGGGATATGGTCCTGCAGCCACGTCTCAGTAAAACACATAACACTGCACTGCTGAAATTCCGGCTGAGTCCTTGAAAGGGCTTGGAGTTCATGCATCTTGTTGGCCAGTGATCTCACATAGCCCATTATGATTGATGGAAGGCATGGTTTGAATTTCCTCTTTCTCCGTTTTGCTCCCGCTATGCACCCACGCTTCTTGCGTTTTAGCTCATTTGGGATTTGTGGCTTCAGTTGAGGTATTATTTCAGCCTTTCCAATGTTAATCAGCTGCTCCCGAATGTAAACCAGATTGTTGCTATGGTTACGCATCATAACAAATGCTCAAAAAGTGAAAAAAATAGCAGTAAAAATCCTCCAAGCTTCACAGCACCAGAAACAGAAAAGTAAAATGTCCAAAAAAATACAGTTTTTCTTGAGAAACTAGAAGAGAAAATGTCCAAGAAAAGGCTAAACTTACATATAGTCAACAGAGCTACTCCAACATGCAGCTACCCAGAGCAGCGCAGTTCCAGAAACAAGGAAGGAAGTATTATTTTGTCCTTTTCTCGAGTGATGGTAGGATGGAGCAGGTGGGGGACTGATGGGTCTACAGCAGGGGGATTCATGTCCTGGAGGTCCGGAAACCAGCCCGTTTTAGTGGATTCTCTGATTCAGCACACTTGATTCACCTATGCAGCAGCTCACCGGGCTCTGCAGAAGCCTGTTAATCACCTGCTGATTGAAATAAGGTGTATTGAAACAAAGTTTGCTGTGCTGGTCTTCCAGGCCCAGAATTGAATCCCCCTGCTCTACAGGGATGAGGAAGGAGCTGATGTCACACTTCTGTTACTTCTGTCACTTCTAATGTTCTGATGCTACAAGAACAGGTGTAAACGTTACACGGTCACATTAAAATAAATACAATCTGATTAGCTGAAAACATGTCTTTCAAGACTGATATCTGTTGACATTTCAGCCATATAACTAGATGAACGCATACTCATGGTGCATGATGGTACTGTCGTGTGATGTTGTCCAAAAAATAAATAATGAATCCAAAATGTCCAAAGTGTCAGTTGGATATGCTAATCCAGTTGTTGTCCAAAAAGTTGAAATAATAAAAAAGTAATAATAATTTACATGATCAGTCAAAACCCATTTGTCCACCACATCTGTGTTGATAACAAACCCTTTTTAGCTAGTAGCACCCTCTGTGGCTAATGGCACCACCATAACCCTAACTGTCTATACAGGGTTTCCCTGAGTGTGGTGCGCGCACCCCTGGGGGGTACGAGAGCTGCCGCTAGGGGGTGCGCGAGGTGAAAAGTGTAATGGAGTCATTTTCCACCAACGTGCACAACTTTGTTTCTGGTCTAATGATCGTTTTAGTTTTTGTCCTGAGTTCAACAGATCAAACTATTGCTTCTGTTTTACAAACCTAATGCAGAAACCTGAAGGTGTGTTAGTGTTGCCCTCGGCTCCTACGGACCGCTGTGAGGGAACCTTTAGTGTGTTGATCCTTTTGAAGATGGAGGGGTGAACGAGGAGAAGGAAGACACACACACACACAACACACTGACGGTGACCCGGTCCCTATGGGCTGCCAAGTAATCAAACTGTCATTGTTTGTTACTCGTCTGTTACCACGACGATTAGCAGCTCTCTGACCAGTTGCCACGGCTGCACAGGGTATCAGACACACACACACACACACACACACACACACACACACACACACACACACACACATAATATTAACTGATCAGACTTGATTAATAAATTATCCTCTGATTGATAATAAGACAATGAGCTGTGGTTTGTGCAAAAGTTTTCAGCCCCTCCTCATTTCTGTAGATGTTTATTTTTACAAAGCAGATAAAACTCAATTAACATCAAAATCTATTAGAGCTACCCAACGGTCAGCTGTGACTGGCACACACACACACACACACACACACACACACACACACTGGGCAGTTCCGGTTGTTAGCACAATTTAGCAGAAAATTTGATTAAATAAATCAGGCGAGAACTGATTTAAGATTATGTTACATAACAGTGTTACTCTCTCACTCTCTCTCACACACACACACACACACACACAGGTGGGGTCCGTTATGTGAAGTTATGGGAACACGTCAGCAAGGATTTACGCCTCCTGCTGATCCATTAAAGATGAAAGAGAGAGAGAGCGAGAGAGAGAGAGAGAGTGTGTGTGTGTGTTAAAGTTCCACCTTAGTTATAACATTTGAATCTCATGTTCTTATTTTATTATTTATTATTATTTTTATTATTTTGAAAAAGCTGCTTCCACCTTTCTGTGTTGGAAACATGAAGCTGGAGATGTTTTCATAACAGGAGAAAAGTATTAAGTTTGAAATCTGGGACCAAATATTGACTCCAGATTTGTTTCTTCTCCTCATCAGCATTTTTTACTCTTTCCTTTGACCTTTGACTCACCATGTTCCAGATGCAATGACTCATCTTCGTCTTCATCCTGCCTGCCACCTCTCATCCAATCAGCTGTGGAGATGCACGTCATGGGCAGCATCTCTCCGGCCAACGACAGCGAGGGCTTCTCCTTCCTAAAGGAGGATGTTGCCGTTTCCAAGGCGATGTCACCTCCTTTTTCTCACATCAGTGAAAATGGGACAAGATCACCAGTAGCTCCTCCCCCACCTCCCCCACCACCTCCTCCTCCATTAGGGCTTAGAGACAGCACATGTCTGAAGAAGAGGAGGGTGAGGAGCTTTTTCTGGAAAACAATACCAGAGGAGCAGGTAGTCATGTCAGAACATGTTTGTGTTTTTACATGTTTCTGATCATCAGTAGCAAATAAAACCAGAAACAATGACTTAGAGAATGTTTGTGTTTCAGGTGAAAGGTCGCACCAACCTGTGGACTCAGGGTCAGGTGCAGCAGCACTTCCAGATCGATGTCCAGGAGGTTGAGGAGCTGTTTGGTCACAACGACTGCCAGTCAGACGCCAAGGCCCCGCCCACCAGGGGAGGAAAGGGCCGGGTCTCGTTCAGGGAAACTAAAGAGGTTTGTTTTTGTTGACGGTGTAGCAGGAGGTGGAGGGCGTTAGTGGACCCACCTTGTGTGTGTCTCCTCACCAGGTCTCCATTCTGGACCCGAAGCGAGGGCTAAACGTCGCCATCTTCCTCAAACAGTTCAAGAGGTAAAGAGTGTTTATCCCATCAGCACCAAATGTCCTGATTCACAGTGAAACAGACCCCATGCATCGAGTTTTGGGCTGCTTCTCCAGTTTAAGAGGAACTTCTTTGGGTTTTAACAGAAAAAAATTAACATTTAAAATGTGAGCTTTAGGGTCTGGGCCTGACCTAAAGTGCTGAGTCATGCTACACGCTAAAGCTGGCACACATACGGCTGAGAGACCCTGGGCAGTAGCGTGATGCGTCTCCGCACCCTCATCCTGAGGTGTTGTAGGTTAAAACAGTCACAGCCGTTCTACTCAGTTACACAGGACAAGGTAGACCTAACCGTGTGATCAGTCAGAGGAGAGAACAGGAGGCAAGTGGAAAAGTCTGGAGACGAAGAGAAGAAGAGTGAACGCAAACAGGGGAGTGGTAGCACATTGGTAAAGGCACTGCCCACAAGTTTATCCATATTGTTAGGATCGCTGATACAAAATCCTCACAGGTTCCATCTCATCGTAAACATGACTCATCGGGATTTTTAGATAAAAGTGTTGGTTTAGCTAAGAAATAAGCAGCCGAACACGAGTTTACTCACTTTGGGCTGAACTTTATGTAAAAGACCACAAAGAAAAGTCTCATTAAAGTGATAGAAGTCACACCAACTATCTAAAGGTTTTACATGAGACCAACAGGTTAGTGTGTGAACAGTGTTAGTTTAAACATTTTACAGGATGTGTGGTCCTTTAGAATCTGGGGTGGATGTAGCAGAACCAGTGTCCTCTATCTGTTTATGATGTTCAGATGGAGTGCTTACTAAACACAGCAGCTGACATACAGGCATGAGGGAGAAACCAACTACAAATCACATGGATGAGTCTTCATCACGTTATTTGACTTAATCCGCTCAGTGACAAGAAAAATATTTGTCTACACATCTTTTTTTCAATTTCAGGTAATTGCGTTCACTGGCTATGGTTCCACGTCTCCGGGGGTGGACTAGGACCAAAATTTGGCCCTAGCATTTTTATGAACTGTCGGCCCTCGGCAGGGAAGGTTGCTGCTCATGACTCGTCTATCCTGCCAAATGTGGGGGGAGGGACAGGGTGTTGTGTGTGTGCTGCTTGCGGACTTGTCTCTAAAGCCGCATGTGAGACGGGGGCTTGGTTTGGGATGGCCCAAGCTGGGCAAGTGGCCCACTTGGCTAAGTAGCCCACCGGGACAGTGCCAGAATGCCATATAGGCCAGTCCACCCCTGCACGTCTCACAATAGATTCAATTACCACAAAAAATCTACTTATGCTTAGGCTCTTCCCTCAGCAGGGGGTCTAAGCTTGTTATCAGGTTGGCACCGGCACCCCCTGGGCTGCCACCTTATCGTGGTCGAGGCGTTTGAGTGTTACAATGATCCTAGGAACTAAGTTGTCAGAGGCTTTATGACATGGTCACCCATGGCAAACAGGTCCTGGGTGAGGGATCAGAGAAAGCGCAGCCCAAAGACCTCCTATGATGAGTGACATAAATGGAAACAATGTTCCCTCACACAGACGTGTGGCACCAGGTCCCCCCTCTGGAGCCAGGCCTAGAGTTGGGGCACAATGGCGAGTGCCTGGTGGCCAGGCATTTACCCATGGAAGCCAGCCGGACATAGCCCAAAGAGAAGGCATGGGTCCCACTGAACAGATTGTGAGGGTCTGCTAGGAACATCTGGCGAAGTCCGAAGGAGCTACAATTTCCACATTTGACAGAATTTCAAGCATGTCCCGAGGAAGGCAGGGGACATTGAGTCCGAGTGGGCCATGCTCCGTACTTCCATTTTTGAGGCGGCCGACCAGAGCTGCAGCCGCAGGGTCGTCGGTGTCTGTCGTTGTGGCAACCCCCAAACCCACTGGCGGACACCGGCGGTTAGGGATGCTGTCAAACTGAAGAAATAGTCCCATGGGATCTTTTTGGTCTGTGTGGCTCCAGAAGCAGCTGGTAAATACCAGCAGTCCAAGTGGAATGCGGCTCGGGTGGTTGCGTACGCAAAATCCTGGGCGTGCAAGGATTTTGGTGAGACCATGGAGCAGGTGGTGATGGTGTGTTGCTGACCTAGACTCGGGACGTTGTGAATGGTAGGTGGAATACTTCGAAGACCTCCTCAATCCCACCGCATGTCTTCTAGTGGGGAAGAGGAGTTTGGGAGCTTTGAGTTGGACTATATTCTCTGGGGCCACGGTCACTTAGGTGGTTAAAAAACTCCTCGTTGGCAGGGCTCCGGGGGTGGATGAGATCTGCCTGGAGTTCCTTAAGGCTCTGGATGTAGTGGGATTGTGTTGGTAGATGCCGCTCTGCAATATCACGTGGAAATCAAGGGCAGTTCCCCTGGATTGGGGAACTGGGGTGGCGGCCCCCCTATTTAAAAATGGGAACTGCAGGGTGTGTTCCAGCTACAGGGGATCACACTCCTGAGCCTCCCTGGTAAAATCTATTCAGGGGTTCTGGAGAGGAGGGTCCCTCAGATTGTTGAACTTTAGATTAGATCAATGTGGTTCTTGTCCTGGCCATGGAACACTAGACCAGCTCTATACCCTTAAGGGGGTCCTGGAGGGTGCGTGGGGGTTCATCCAACCAATCTACATGTGTTTTGTGGATTTGGATAAAGCGTTCAACCGTGTACCTCGTGGGGCCCTGTGGGGGGTACTCTGGGAGTGTGGGGTACCAGGCCCTCTGACACGGGCTGTTAGGTTCCTGTATGACTGGTGTCAGAGCTTGGTCTGTATTTCCGGCAGTAAGTTAGGCTAGTATCCGGTGAGAGTTAAACTCCGTCAAGGTTGTCCTTTGTCACCGATTCTGTTCATAACTTTTATGGACAGACTTTCTAGGTGCAGCCAAGGTGGTGAGTTGCTGGGGAGAGGGAAGAGACTCCAGATAAGTGGAAGAGAATGGATGGATGGATGGATGGATGGATGGATGGATGGTCCTGGCTAATGGGTGGGGCCAACATTTCTTTTTATTGCAAAGCTTCACTACTAGGTTGAGTTTCACCTTTTACCAGGGCTCCTGGGTCATTGTGAGCCTCAACAAGGTCTCGTGTTACTTAGATGCTCAGAGAACAGTTTTCTATTTTAGATCTGTAGAACGTGTGACCGAGTCAGACCGACTGAGGTGTTGTTTTTAGCACATTCTGAGTTCACACCATTAATTAAATGTAAAACTTCTCCCTTCAGGTCCAATCAGACGTTAGTCGCTGACATTCAGCGTGGCAGCAGTGAGTCATTTGGGGCGGAGCCTCTGAGGGATCTGCTGAAGCTGCTTCCAGAGAAAGACGAGGTGAAAAAAAACATCTGTAACTTCTATAAAACCCCAAACTGCTGCTCACAGAGACAGATTCATATTCAGTGGTTTGTTCTGAAGGTGAAGAAGCTGAAGGCCTACAGGGGTGACATCTCTAAGCTCTCGTTGGCAGATTCTTTTGTGTACCTGCTGATTCAAGTGCCCAGGTGAGCTGTCACACACTCTTTAGCTCGACGTATCTGAGTTACAGATCAGCTAACAGATCTCTGCATACAAGTCGTGACCTAAAACAGCTTTATGGTGCTGCAGATGAATGAGAACAACTATCAGTCAAAACTTTTTGTAAAGCTCATTTCATACAATTTGTATCCGATTGCACCCTTCCCTGTTTGTGACTAACTGCTGTCGCGCAGTTACTCGCTCCGCATCGAGTCCCTGCTGCTGAAGCAGGAGTTTCCTGCGGCCTGTGAGGCCATGAAACACCACTTCGGGATCCTTCACTCCGCCACTAAAGGTACAAACCGCCCCACCTTTTACCAAACCTGCGGCCTGCTTTAGAGTTTTATACCAAAACCTCACCGGATGAGCAAGGCGTCAAAAAGAATCAAACGTTTCTGACGACCTGAAACGAGCTTCAGGCTCTGCAGATGTGCAGCGTCACACCTAACCAGCTAACACTTGGAGTATTTTTAGCGGTGTGTGTGTGTGTGTGTGTGTGCGTTTGTGGGTGTGAATCTCTGCCTGAGCTGCTAATGATGCCTCCATGTGCTCCTCACATCGTCAGCCATGACACATTTCTGCAGTTAAAGCTCGTCTCTTTGTTCTCCTCATCCAGAGTTAATGTGCTGTGAGGAGCTCCACGCTGTTCTCCACCTGGTGCTGCAGGCCGGAAACATCCTGAATGCTGTGAGTGTGTGTGTGTGTGTGTGTGTGCGTGTGGCGGGGGGGTATTAATGCAGCAGAAAATGCAGATTGTTGTTTTTAGTTAATGACCTGTAAACAGCCTGAAACAGCATCTCTGGCCCGTTTCTCGCTGCTCCTCGCCTCTGATGGAGAACAACAAGAGTGGTTCCTCGGAGCCTGCCGGGCGGAGGAGATGAACCAGATGTTTGTTGGTTTGCAGTACCATCTTCTACGTTGCTGTCGTTAACAGAGCAGCTGGTTTTCTCTCACAGCTCTTCCTTTCTTTGTCTGGACTACAATAAGAGAGCTGACGGTTTAGTGAAAGACGAGGGACGTGGCTTCAACACAAAAGCAGTAAAACACTAAAATAGAAACCACAGACAATCCTGATGAAGACATGAACTCTAACAGAGCCAGAGAAGGAAAGATTTAGCTAAACTCCACGGCTGTGGGATGTCCCTTTTAGTGCTTCATGACTGATTAGTTCAGTAATAATAATAAAAACATCTGGATCATGTTTCCCATTAATTTCTTGCTGGTTTTAGTTTTCAGAACAAAAAAAGGTGAAAGTTGAACATCATCACTCGTCTGCTCCTGTGGTACGAAGAGCTCGGTCATCTTAACGAGCTGTTAGAGCGGCACCTGTACAGACTAAATGCTAGAACACACATTTAACCCTTTAAAGACTCAGCCGAGTCTCAGATAGGAGTCGGACTCCAGCGCGTAGCGGCTGAGAGAACGTGGTCCGGACTCTGCAGAGGAGAGTCGTGGTTTCAGAGACGCCGTGGTAACAGAATTCCTGCTCCGTGATCCGGATACACTCCGATCCTGGAGGAACCAGGACCTGAGGTTCGGTCAAAGCTGTGACTAAACGTGTAGACGTTGGTCATCGCCCAGGAAGGATCACAGCGTTCAAACGAGCGCTCAGTCAGCCGACCGGTTCTGCTGATGTTCTTGTAGGAGACCGTTATGACCACCCTCCCAGTGACACCGCCCAGTCAGACTCTCTCTGCCCAGAACCTGTTTATGACATTTAAATCTGTCCGGATCATCAGATTTAATCTGCCTTCTGTTTCCCGAGTTTGCATCCAGGGGTTAAGACAGCCTTGGATGTTGCCTAGCAACTTAATTCCTGTTGCTTTTAACTCGTCTTCCAACTGGTGGCTCTGTCAGAAGGAACCAGGAAATGTGTTCCAGGTCTAGATGGATTCCTTTAAGAGGAGCGGTTAGAAAAAGCGGAGCGGCTGCTGCTGTGCTGGTGGGGACAGTCCCCGCTAGTGCAGGACGTATGAGACATACCAACTACTTCTACAGCAGTATATGCAGATGATATTACTGTTTTAGCTTCAGCACATACAGAGAGTGCTATATTAAATGAAGAGTTAAGAACAGTCGAGCAGTGGATAACTGCTAACAAACTAGTGATTAATGCAGGAAAAACTAAATGCATGGAAGTTGGCTCCAAACATACTTTACAGACGATGCCAAAGTTACATTTAACCCTGAGTAACAACATAATAGAACAACTAGAAGAAGTAAAATTACTAGGAGTAATAGTTGATTGTAAATTATCATGGACAAGTTAGATTAATTATGTTTTACGCAAAATGCGGAGAGGTATGGGCATGATTAAATTTTGTTGCAAATTTATACCACAATATTTACTTAAATGCCTTGTTCAATCATTAGTGCTTTCTTGTATAGATCAAGCATCTGTTATTTGGTCCAGTACAAGTGAAAATAATTTGCATAAGCTACAAGTAGCACAAAATAAAGCTGCTCGTATTGTTTTAGGCTGCCCTCACAGAACGAATGTGGGAACCATGCATGAAAAACTTGCTTGGCTTGATGTGAAGAGGAGATTGAAGTATTTCTTGGTAACAACTGTGAGGAAAATAATAATTACAAAAACACCAAAAATTATACATAGCAAATTATTGTTTTTTTCAGATAATCATACTTATAATACACGACAGATAAATGAGATGAAGTGTGTTTTACCACGCAGTAGAACAAATCAAATTCAACGATCTTTTCACTATAGAGCTATGCTTGCATGGAATGCATTACCTAGATTTTTAATTTTTGAAAGTAATAACATTTCTTTTCATAAGAAACTGAAAATTTTTTTGTTTACACACTTAATTGTATAGTGACTATGAACTCTGCAACGAAGGATTGAGAATCTGTGTTTGAGATCGAGTACTGGATATCGATGAACTATGATACGAAACAATGGGCATGATGTCACCATTCTGTTATATTTTATTTTCAATCTTTATTGGTGTGATTAACTCCTTTCCCGATATTAGTTTATATATGTATTTTTGTTCTAGATATGTGATTTCATCTTGAGCTACTGGTATTATGGGAATTAGGGATGTGTGTGCTTGAATGTGTGTGTGTTTGTGTGTAAAGGGTATTATCTCATGTAAACAATTGTATGAAAATGTATGAGACCCCTGGAAGACTAGCATCTGCACTTAGGCAGAAGCTAATGAGGATCTCAATAAAATGAAACAAAACGAAAACCTCCTCACTCAGCGTGTGTCCTAGAAAGAGGCTAGACTTGTCTTCATAGTGTCCTACCGTCTCACGACCCAGGTGCCTTTAGGTGGGGACAGTGGTCCTGTCTCCAGCCTGCAGCACTCCAGTCATGGGGCGGAGCACAACTCCTGGGAATGAGTCAGATTTGTTGGACTTCACCAGAATTTGTCTTTTGTCTTCAATTCTGCTCATAACTTTATTGACCGGAGCAGATCAGCAGCTCCGAGCTGAGGACCGAAAGGCTAACTCTCAGTTTGGACCCTCCTCCAAGGCTGGATGTGAGAGGACAGAGGAGAGGCAGTGGAGGGTTTTGGTGAGAACCAGGCTAAACCCTGGACTGACTGTAGTCCCAGCTGACCTGGGACCAGGTCCTGGTCAGGTAGCAGACAGACGGGCTATAATGTGATGATGTTGATGAATGAAGTACAGAAATGAGAGCAGGAGCATCATGGGAAACGTAGTCCTGATTTCATGGTACCTGTTGTGTTCCAGGGAGGCTCTGCAGGAAACGCCGTGGGCTTTAAGCTGTCCTCGCTCCTCTCGCTCGCCGACACCAAATCCAACAAGCCAGGGATGAACCTGCTGCACTTCGTGGCTCTGGTCAGTCTCCTGAGCTTGTCCACGCCGGTGGACCTGTTCAGATGGCTCAGACTCCGGCACTAAAGGACAAATCCTCTCTTTTCCCTTCAGGAAGCTCAGAAAAAAGACGAGAAGCTTCTGGAGTTTCCTCTCAGGCTGAAGAACGTTCAGGCAGCATCCAGGTGAGGCGTGTCCTCGTTAGCAGCTCCCTCTGCTGGTTCAGGGCTTTAAGGACTCCCAAATCTGTCACTTAAACTAAAACAGAGCTTGTTTTATCAGGATCTCCATGGAAACCCTGGATGCTGAGCTACAGTCTCTGACTCTTCGCACACGCTCAGTGGAGGACAGCATCCAGGAAGACGCGGAGCTTCTGCAGCAGCTGGGTGGCTTCCTTCAGGTAAACAAACCCAAACAGCTTTGGGTCATTTAGACGGACCCGTTAACGTCCCGTTCCGTCTCAGAGCGCCGCGGCGTCCCTGTGCTCGCTGCGTGACGGCAGGCAGCAGCTGAAGAGGGACGGCAGCGAGCTGTTGGACTTCTTCTGTGAGGACAGAGAGACGTTCAGGCTGGATGACTGCTTCAGCATTTTCCACACCTTCTGCTGCAGATTCACCAGCGCCGTCCGGGTAGGCTCGGACCAGAGGAGCTGATCCCTCCAGCGCCCTGGGCGCCTGGTTCTTCAGAGAGCGTGTAGAACCTCGGTGGTGAGATGTCTTTGTGTCTCCTGCAGGAGAACCAGGACAGGGAGGCTAGGGAGGCGGCTCGCCGGCGGCGGCTACAGGAGGAGGAGGTGAAGAGACACTCGTGGGCTGGAGGAGAGCAGGTTGGTGAGCTCTCAGCATCAGAACATCTGAAGGTTCTGCTGTCTTTTAACTCTGGGCCGGTTCCAGGTCCGCGGAGCCTTTGGGTCACGCTGCAGGAGCGAGACGGACATGTCTTCCATCATTTCCAAAGACGACTCAGGACTTTTGGGGGCGCTCCTTGCCCCGAAGTTCCACCTCAGCCCTCGGAGACGGTCCTGGAACCCACAGAGAAGCCGGAACCCTCCATGCAGCTCAGTGGCCGCCGCTGCAGAGAGGGAGCTCAGCTCCTTCTTGGAAATATCAGGAGACCTCAGAGTTCCCTGGCAGAGGAACCCAGCGTGGACTACAAGACTCTCCCCTGAGAAGGTCTCAGCGTTCAGTCAGGTGGACCCAAAAACCACCTCAGCTCCTCCTGAGACCTCCTCCAACCGAACAGACTCCTCCCACATCAGCGGCGCTCAGACCAGGTCAGAATCGGTCGATATTGAAGATAAAGACAAGTCTACCTCACATCTGGAGCTTCAGGCTGACCACAACAACAACCATCGACCCAGCCTCCAGGACCTCCTCCTCCACCAGACCTCCTCTTGTCTGAGCAGGAGGTCTGATGATCACATGCCTGTGGTTCCTGAGCTCGAGGCCTTCAGCAGAACCTCCTCTGAGACCGCCCGGAACCAGGTCAAACTCCCCAGTGCTCTGGACAGGATGGGGACCAATCATCTGGACCATCTGAAGAACGTCCCCCAGGACGTGAGGAGGCCCTCCTCCCCTCAAAGAGAGGAGGAACAGGTGATAGTGTGGTGTGTGACAGGTGTGTGTGAGGCTGCCGGTGAACACACACACACAGGAACCCGTCAGGAGGAGAACCGTCAGGGCTCCCCAACACTACTCGGTTCTTCAGAGCCTCAGCCGGACCGAGACAAGTCAGAACCCATCAGCAGCCAGCCGGCGTCCCGCTGCAGCGACTCGTCTCTGCTCGCCTCTCCACCTGGACGACGTCCCCCAGAACCCAAGTCACCCGGTCCAGAACCTGGTCTGACTGCAGAGGAGAAGGAACCGAGGAGCGAGGAGGTGTCAAAACCAGAACCAGACCCCAGACCAACGACGGGAGAAGCTTCTGCTGAGAGAGAAACTAAACCAGCAGCTTCTTCTAACCAGAACCAAACTTCTGGAATCAAACCAGCAACCCCAAACAGAACCGGTACCAGTAGCAGGTCCGTCCGCTCCCTCACACGTTCAGAGAACCAGAGCATGAGGAGGATCGTTCCCATCACGAGGTCCATACGAGGAGCTCTATCTGTGACCAAACGTCCTAAAGAACCTGCAGCTGCCAGCCGGACCTCCTCCAGGACCTCCACCCTAACCAGCTCCAACCTCAACGGAGCTTTGGTTAGACGAGGAGAACGGTCCGCTACTGCTCCTTCATCCCAGCGGCCCAAAGAACCATCAGCTTCCAGGGAGCAGAACCAGGACCCTGAGAGGAGACCTTCCATCCGCAAAGCCTCGATGAAATCTAGAACCCAGACGGAGGAGAAGATGTGTCTCTCCAGGCTGAGATCTCTGACCCAGGAAGGAGGAGGAGGCAGCGTCAGTGCTCCCGTCACACCTCTACGCAAAAACCAACCATCATCAACACCTCCAGGGTTTACCAGAAACACGGCCTCATCTTCTTTCAGACGGACCAGAACCACTTCAGGTTCTTCTCCTTTACCCAACACCGGATCTCCTAAGACCTCCTCCTCCTCCCCTCCTACCTCTACGTTGTCCCGTACAGGCTCACTGAGAGTGGCCTCCTCCTCCAGGTCATCGTCTCCTCTGATGACTCAGAAGATCCAATCACCTCCTGGACCTTCGCTCCCCGGCTCCTCTAAAGACCTCCAGCAGAACATCAGCAGGTCTCCTCACCTCAGGGAGGCCAGCAGGCCCACCAGACCCATCTGGAGATAACACGAGTCCTGGTGGTGATTCGCTCCTCTGAGTCTGGATCTGCAATGGAGGTCAGGGGGGGTCATGTGTGACATCATCAGATGTTTGTGATGAAGTGTCCAGAAGAGGGGAAGATCAGAGCACCTCTGGACAGACCCAGGATCTTCATCTGCTCCTCAAAAACATCAGAGTTCTAATTTTAAAGAACCTAAATGAAACCTGGGTCTGCAGCCTTCACCAGTAAATCCAGCTTGAACTGGTTCTGCTGGTGACTCTGACCAGTGGAGACTTTTTACTCCTGGGTTTTAGGAGATTTAACCCAACTTCTACTCTCAGCTTCTCTGGTGGGTCAGAAGTAAAATCTTTCAGAGATGTGTTAAATTTCCTAAAACGTTAATTTCAGAAGGCTCGACTCTAAAAACGGATCGTTTTTAACGAGCTGCTGCTGACATGAGCAGATTATAACTGATAAGATTCATTATTTAGGTTTAAAACAGCGCCCCCTGGTGGGATCAGTGACGGCCTGTTAAATACCGTAAATCCTCTAATAGTGGCCTGGGCCTTTATTTACTCAAGCACATCCTGGTTCAAGCCTTTATTGGAAGGTGGCCAGAATTAGAGACATGCCGCAGTTTCAAATTGAGCTAAATAAACTACCAGTAGGATGAATAAAAACAAGATTTAGTGTCTGTTTGAACCTATAAAAGACTATTTGGTTAGTTTAATGAAAATGTAGTTAACATGTAGTACGTATGCATGCAGACGTTTACAACAAACACCACTGTTATAGGCTAAATCCCAGTGTGGTAGCAAACATGCCGGTAGTGCATTGTAAACACTTGATGATAATTAGGTTATGGATTCACAACAAAAGGCAACAGGCGCCTTACCGCTACAAACTTTAACCGTTCGTGTCCCGTTTGGTTTGAAGTTTAAAAAATAAGTCCTCCAACTGTTTAAACCTCATCCTCCTCAGTTCCACGTTACAACACTGAGCTAACTGCTAAAAACATTAGCACTCTACAAGCTATTTGCGGTGAGGACATGTGAAAAAAGTATTAAAAGTGTTAACAGGTCTTCTGGGAATTTCTCCTACCCCGTAAACCGTAATAACCTTTGTTCCTGAGCATGTGTGCGCATGCGCACAACACAAAAAGGGAAGCAAAGGGCATTGTCATATTTGCAGGGAAATAGGTAAGTAGTAAGTATTAGTACTTTTTATTGACGTTGATACTTGATTTTTTGGGTTAGGTTTAGGGTTTGTGTCATGTAAAACACCGTAAAATTATCCTACGGGTAGAACGTTTTGCCAAAGTAGGACGTTTTGTCAGAACCCTGGCTAGTAATGAAATACACAGGCCAATATTAGAGGACTTACGGTAAACTTCTGCATAAAAACCGGGGCCTGCCGGGCCACAGGTAGCCCAGAGCCGCAGAATGCAGACCCCTTGTCTACGTGGAGCTAGACGGCGTTTAAAGACACATTGGTGCGTGTTTTTGAGTAGAAGTTATGAACAAGTCCATCTCAACCCACAGGCTTCCTGAAACAGCTCCAGCCTTCTAAAACTTTACTGATTTATAACTTCTGTTCTGCACTAAAGCAGAATAAATCCTGCAGGACTCCACTCCAGGTGAAGAGCTGCGTTTAGCGCCACAGCTGTTTGAAATAACTCGTTTTTACACAGAAACACGCGTCAGAGTGGTCAAACATTTTAATTTTTCCTAAAAGCTTTTATAACCATCAACAGGGGCGTCGGACTGGGGGGGGAAAGGGTACCGTTTACCCAGGGCCCACTGCAGGGAGGGGCCCTGAGACAGCTTTGAATAAAAATGTTTTATTGTTGTTGTTTTTCCCCCCCAACTTACTTAATGTCTTAATAAACTTCCCTTTACCTGGATAAAGAGGTTAAGAAACAGAATTTCGCCTTAAAAATAATAACTGAATAATCTCTGAGGCATCTATCACCCCTTAAAAATGTGCAAAGTGGTTTAGTCCACACCAGCGGCCAGGGGCTGCACGGCTGCATGTGCTAGTGAGACATCGCAGATGCCGACAGCCAGAGCTGGAGGCAGGAGTCAGTCATGTCTTTTCCCAAGAAAGGCAAATCTGGCTTCCAGAAAAGAAAAGAAAAGAAAAGAAAAGAAAAGAAAAGAAAAGAAGGAGGAAAAGTTAATTGAACAGAAGCAAGTAGAAGGATGGTGAGCAGCAGCCAGCAGCAGCAGAACACAGTTTTAGCTGATATTAGCTAGCTCTCAGAAGCTGCATTCATGTTAGGTGTTCAGTGTTAAATGCCTTTAGTTTCACCATCAAGATCAAATATAAATTAATTAGTGTTATCAGTGAAAACACTAATTAATATAAATATATATATTAATCAGAATTATTATCGCGGGCGGCCGCCGCCAATTAATTCGCGGACCTCGCAGTAAAAACAGGTTCACTCTGTGTGGATATTTCAGCTCCTTCCCTGTCATGGAGCAGGACAAACTTGGTATCGATGGATTGGTGGTAATCTCAGGAACGTGAAGCTGCCACTGTTTTTCGTATAGCATGATGAAACTGGTGTTAGAGGATTGTTATTGACTTGGTTAGATATTTAAGCCTATTTTAAATGTCTTTATATTTGATCTTGAAAACAGACAATCATATAATTTGGCTGATAATGCAGGGATTATAAAATTTAGAGTACATTACATTCACAGAGAGAACCTGGTTTATTTCATGTCATATGTATTTAATATATCAATATATATCAGTATTAGCAAAGCTTAACATCATGAACCATGACAGACATGACTGAAGAGCAGATGAAGATATCATGCCACTGATGAGAAAATATTACAAGGATCTCACAGCTGAATTTGAGAATGAGATGCTACACCTGAGAACAATATATCTGTATGGTGCCACATTTCCACACATTCGGTCTCCTCTTGAGCTGCTTAATGCTATACAGGATGCAATTACAGAGCATTTTTGGAGAAGTTTGTATTGGACTGGGGATATTTTGCACACTACCTGTGACTGTTGCTGGTGGTGAACGGGCTTTTAGCAAACTGAAACTGGTGAAAAATTATTTGAGATCAACGATGTCCCAGGATAGACTAAACAGCCTAGCTCTTCTTTCTATTGAAAGCCAATTAGCCAAAGGATTGGACTTTAAAGATCTCATAAGTGATTTTGCTAACATGAAGACCCGTCAGTGGGCATTTACTGGAAAATAAATTCCAGGATTTTTGTTTGAACACATTGTTGGCAAATAAAAATAATTATATGTGAGGTCTGGGCATTTCACTTTTATTATGCTGGCATTTGTATTTGCTCAATATAGAGGTTAAACTAAGATCATATTTATTATCTTGTCCTATAGCATGACAAAAAATGTGTAAGAGAGATATTAAATAATTGAGCATGGGGGCCCACCTAGAAGACTTGTACCTAGGGCCCAGAATTTGGTGCTACGCCCCTGACCATCAAGTCTATGAAGCTCAGATCTGTTTTCCTCCTCTAATTATGACCAAGGTCCTGGAAGCGTGATAAGCACTATCTCCTGTTGTGTTTGGTGACCTCTAGTGGTGGAGTCATAAACTGCTTCATCCCTGGAATACTCCAGAGGCCTGTAAATCCCAGGAAAGGTCAACGTTCACTAATAAATCTCATTTAAGACTTATTTTAATTGAAATTAAGAACACACACAAGTAAGTAGCTGTGATTGTTATAAAGCACAGAGAATCAGATTTATTTGTTTAATTTTTATCTAAACACACCTGATCTCAGCAGAAATACGTGAAACACGTTGCATTAAACTCATTCATTCATCCGACTGAGATATTTGGTCTGGTTCTGCTGTTTAGGGGGATACATGTTTGTTTATGTAAATCTATTTGTGTTTATCTGAATACGTGAGACTAATAAAGACTTACTGGACTCAGACTCCACTCATGCTTCTCCTGCTGGAAGACTCTATAAACTAATTTCAGTTCTGTTGCTCCTCATCTCACCAGAATCCCAGATCTCTGCTGAAATCCCTACAGCGAGACAATATTCAAACATATTTGCTCTCCGAGTGAGGAGAGGATTGTTTTTAGTGGTCAGATATTATATTTCAGATATAATTGACACTAATCTGGCTTCTGGCATGGTGCTGAGTGACCAAAGTGGTTGTTCACTTAAAGGACTAGATGCATCCTCTGCAGTCTAAGCTCCCAATTTCAAACAAGAAGCTAGAAAATGTGTTTGTGGCCAAATGGTGGCTTCAACGCTGTAAAAGTGCTTTGTTAAAGACTCCAGGAGACAGGTGGGCACTTCAACAGTCATCTGGATTAATGACTACCTGACAAACAGACCCTAGAGTGTGAGACTGAAGGGTTGAGAAGGGACAGAGGAGACAGCTTCTTGAGGAAGCTCAGGCCCTTCAAGGTTGGCTTGAATTTGAATATCTTGACTTCAGCTGGGGTTTTTTCGGATGGTAGGCAGAGGTTTGAGCACGCTACCCTGACATTGGCAACATTAAATCTGCCTTTTAGAAAAAGTTTTAAACTTGTTTTTTAATCTTTGTGTGGTGCAGCTCCAGCTTACCTGTCGAAAAGGCTACAGCAGTAATTTCACATACTGTTGGTTCTGAGAGTTACTTACTGCTGGTGGTCTCCAGGTCTCGGTTGAAGACGATGGTGGGCCAAGCTTGTCAGAGGAGCTCCTGAATTCTGGAATGAGCTTCTGATGCGTAGTAGACAGCCTGCTTCTGTGGTTTTAAGGTCTATCTTTATTCTACTTGGTATCAAGCCCCCATAATCCTGGGATGAACATGAAGCCAACACGGAAGTGGCACAAGTTGCAGTTCCACCATCATCCACTAGGGGCTGGCCCCAGAAGGGAGCAATTCCTCATCGACTCAACGACTCAACAGCCTGGGCCTCGGCCTCATGTTAATAGATGCTAGGCCATTTTGACTGATCTTTAGTTTTGTCTGTTTGTCATTTTTATTTTACAGTTAATGTTACAAAGGAAAAAACAAGTCAGTGTTAACTGTGGATAGACTCAGAACTTAAAAGTAAATGACAGAAATGCGCGACTACGATCAAAACACTGATGTCAGGAAAATAAACTGTATTGTTTACCTTCGTCTCTTAGCGTCTTTTCCGTTAGTCGTGCTCAAGAATTTCTTCGGGTCCCATTTAAACTATTTTTAATCTTTTATTCAAAAATCCACCGGGTAAACAGTTCTGTCCACAGAGTGTGCTGCGCTCTAAAGGCTCTGTGTGAAACGCTGCAGCGCATTAGTTTCCGTCCCCGAGAGCGCGGGGGAAAAAAAATCCGATCTCTTCAGCACAGGGGCAGGGCCGGTTCTATAGGGGCCCAGGCCCCTGTGGGCCCCCGTTTAAAACCGCCAGTGCTGTTTGTGTTCATGTTTGGATGTTAAGCATGATGTTATCTGGACACAGAGGGCAAGCTGCGGTTACTAACAGATCATCCAAGCAGTTTCTGCTTCTTTTTAAATTAAATTATGTTTCAGTACTTTATTTGGCTGGCTGAAAGGGGGAAATGCTGTCATTTAACTGTCAAACATGTTAGTGGGGCTGCATGAGAAACTTGAACGGGTGCCCATCTTCTCCTGTCTCCTGCCCAGCAACGGTTGTTAGAGCAGGTTGCTGGCTGTTCCCGTTTCCTGGGGCAGCCAGGACTCGCGGACCACTCCAAAGCGAGGCTCTAGTCATGCTGGTCACTTGTGGATCTCTGAGGGAGACAACAGAAACACCGCAGCTCTTTTAGTTGACGCTGCTTCACTTTTGAGTCGCACAACCGCAATTTCTCGCTAATAGATTGCTGGTTGAACAGGGGAAAATTCTTTGAGTTTACCAAAACACTGTTCGGTCTAAGATGGGTTGAAATATAGTGTGTTGGTGTGGCTGCTGGTTAACGAGAGCTACATATCTGACCGAGGATAGCGGAGGCTATTGGGCTTTGCTGTTCCACCGCGGTTAACGATCCGCAAGTACGCCGTCGTCGATGGTCCCGCTTTACCGCGACAAGGCTCTCTGCCCCGTATCGACATAGCCAAGTCGACTCTGGTGTCCGGCTGGGAGCGCGACACGGATCCGGGAACTGAGTCAACACTCCCAGAGATGGGACCATCAACAACAGTGGACTCGCAGATCTTTGACCGCGGTCAACCAGCAACACCCGATATCCTCGGTCAGCTTACCTAGTTATGATTTCATTCCTAAGCAGGCTGGAGGTGCCTTCGCTTTGGAGTCGTTCTACTGCGTTTTTCTTGATAAAAACGCCCGGAAAGCTCTGTTAGCTTTGGGTTATCGTGTAGCTAATGTCCCGCTAATCTCCGACTGTGGAGCCTGAGCTGATGTAAAAGGCCACGGCGCCTTGCTACGCAGCAGTCTGAGGTTTTGCTAATTTAGTCCATATTAGATCTCCACAGACGACCAGCATGACTACAACCTTGCACGGAAACCAGTCAGCCGTGTGGGTGGGCCCCAGTCCCCGGAGCCCCTTCTTAGCTTCTTGGAGTAAGGCTTCGAGTGTGTGGTGCACAAGTGTGCAGATAATTGCCAAAGTGAGACAGGGAGCGTTGCGTCGTCGATGGCGACGCGTGCCAGGATGCTGGTTGCTGTGATGCTTTTTTCAAAAACTTTTATTAACAATTTTCAAACAAACAAGCAAACAGTTATTTGAAATAATTTAACTTTCACTGCTGCTTTTTCCAGGAGGCACCTCCTGGACGCCTCCCTGGTGAGGTTTTCCGGGCACGTCCAACCAGGAGGAGGCCGAAGTGAAGTCCCAAGGCATCATCCAAGAGTCTAATTCATTTCTGAAGTAGGAGGCGTATAAGGTGTGGTCTTAAATAAACACACTGATAAGGCGTGATGGGTTCTACTTGACTTTAATGAACTCGGCTGTGGATCCAGCGCCATAGAAGCGGACTCCGGCGTGTAGCGGCTGAGTGAACGTGGTCTGGACTCTGTGGAGGAGACTCATGGTTTCAGAGACGCTGTAGAAACATAGAATTCCTGCTCCGTGATCCAGATACACTCCGATTCTGGAGGAATGGGAGCCTGGGACCGGAGTGTTAACGTTGTTGTGCCTCAACATGAAACCAACTGTATCACAATATAAAGCCCAGGATTTGTTATTGGATCCAAACACACTTTCCTGTGAGTTCCCGGTCCTGTAGATGTTGTTGTACGAGACCGCTACAAACGCCCCCCCTTTCCTCTCCACCTCCCAGTAACATCGTCCAATCAGACTCTCTCTGCTCAGAACCTGAGCCCAGCAGGTGAATCTGTCTGGATGATCAGCATAAATCTGCTGTTCTCTAGTTGATGTAGCTTTTCTGTCTCCGTTAGACAACAGAAGCTTCCTATAAGCCGAGTTTGGATCCAGAGTGATTTCTCGTGAATATTTCAGGAAGTCTGCTCTGGTCTTTGGTTCTGGTTCTGGCAGTAGACCACCCACTGCAGTCCCTCTCAGTGAGAGGTTTGTCCCTCTGTCCCTCAGCACGTCCTGTAGAACGTCTCTGAGCTCTGACACAGCTGCTGTCACGTCCTCAAAGTGTCTCCGAGGACGAACGTTGATGCTGGATGAGTGTGGAGACCCACTGAGTGCTGACACTGAGGGGTAGTTGTGTAGAAACTGCTTGTGATCCTCTGTGTGTGAGAGCTGCTCCAGCTCGGCGTCTTTCCTCTTCAGCTCAGTGATCTCCTGCTCCAGCTTCTCCTGAAGCTCCTTCACTCGCCTCACTTCAGTTTCCTGCTGGGATCTGACCTGCTGCTTCACATCAGAGCTTCTTTTGTGGATGAGGTGGACCAGCTGATGGAAGATCTTCTCACTGTCCTCCACTGTTTTATCAGCAGAGACATTGATGTCCTCCACCTCCTGCTGAAGAAGCTCCACGTCTTTCTGTCGCTCCTGGATTCTCTGCTGGATTTGTTGTCTCCTCACCTGGAGCTCCTTCTGCTTCTCAGCTCTTTCTGCTGTAACTGAGACTGTTTCATGTCCTTTATGTTCATCCATTAAGCAGAGAGAACAGATACGCTGCTGATCAGTACGACAGAAAACCTTCATCACCTCATCGTGGAGACAGCAGATGTTCTCCTGGAGGTTCCTGGAGGGACTGATCAGCTTGTGTTTTTTAAATTGTCTGGTGCTGTGATGAGGCTGGAGGTGTTCCTCACAGTAAGAAACCAAACAGACCAGACAGGACTTGACAGCTTTCCGTTTCCTCCCAGAGCAGACATCACAGGACACATCTTCAGGTCCAGCATAGCAGAGATCAGCTGGGGCAGCTCCAAGTCCAGTCTTCTTCAGCTCCTCCAGTAAAGCTGCCAACACGGTGTTCTTCACCAAAACGGGCCTGGGTCTGAATTTCTGTCTGCACCGAGGACAGCTCGGGATCCTCCTCTGATCTTTTTCATCCCAGAAGTCTTTAATACAGCTCATGCAGTAGCTGTGTCCACAGGGAATGGTCACCGGATCCTTCAGGAAGTCCAGACAGATGGTACAGGAGATCGATTCCTGATCCAACCAAACGTTGTTCTGCTCCATGTCTCCTTTCAGAACGAACAACTAAATGAATTTCACTTCCTTCAACCTGAAACTACAGTGACAGCCCTGAATGTTGCCTAGCAACCGACATACCTGTTGGTTTAACTCATGATCTTCAAACTCTGTGAGAAGTAACAAGGATTTAGAAAAATTCCTGCAGGAGGAGTGGTCAGAAGCAGTGTTGAACCTGCAGTTTTACAGCTGTTTATCTGCTACGTCACAAGACGTAAGCAAGAGTCTTTATTGGGTTGGAGCCCGTCTTAAAAGTTTTCCCTCAAATACAGTTTTTAAAGATGGGGTCTGTAGTCCAGAGTAGTTCCCAGCAGCTCAGCGCTGCTAGCCAACGTTGGCTCAGTTCCACTAGTACCTGCTTTGCGTGACACCACTCTAATCTGGTTTAATCTAGTCCACATTACGCGTGAGGGTTGTGCTTCCATTGCAGTGGAGAAAATACGCTTCTGGGTGGAGGTATTTATAACCAGCTATCCTTGTGTTGTGCAACGTGATCTGTCGGCGACTCAGGCATGCGAGGAATAACAACGGCAAACACGTTCACATTCTGCTCACTCTGGTGCACGGACTGCAGAGACGTGATGATGGTAAGCTAATGCTAAACCTGCTGCAAAAAGTCCAGCTAAAAAAAAACCGTCAAGTAAATAAATGATTGTTTACAGCCAAACACACATCTGATCTACAAGTTTGTGCATTTTGAAACAGATTGGCCTTCATGTTACTGAAGCGCTTTTGGTTCAGTTGTGACAGGAAAGAACCAGGAAGTGGTTTGATTAAGTCTTCCTGTAGGAGAATCAGCGTGCACCTCTCTGTTTCACCGCTGGTTATTATGGTCTGTCTCAGTGTTTCATCTAGAGGCTCTCGGGGGTGTGAGAGCTGCATTCCTCTTTTAATCTGCAGGTGTTTGTAAAAAAATCTGAAAGAAAAATTCTTCATTTTCACCTCACATCTGATTCTGTTTACTGAAGGATGTCAGACATGAAGTAAGGAGTGGAAACTGCAAACCTTCAGCGGGTTTTTTTTTACATTATAATGTGAGTAAATCAGGAATTCAAAAGGAAACTTCCTCATTAAAACACATTCAGTAAAGGCACTTTTAGGGTTCTTTTAAAGATGTTATAAAAATAACACTTCATCGCATAGACAACAACAACAACCCGTGTAGAGCACTTTCACACACCCACGAGGTTGAACAAAACACTGAACACAACGTAGAACTAAAGGCATCTTTATGACCAGTCAGGATGTTAATGAACTTATTTAACACATAATTAAAAAAAACATGAAAAGGAAATTATTGGAATACATTTGTGTTTTGATCCATTTTTCCAGTTTCCACTCAGTCTGATTCTTACAGAGCTGCACTGATTCTTGTTTTTGGAGCCAATGCAGATTTCTGATTTTTACGCACCTCTTACTTTCAGATTTCAACACATTCTGATTCATCTCAAAGAATTACGATTACAGATGTTTACATCAGATTCCTGTTTGACTTTATAATAGCAGGTTTGACTTTATAATAGCAGGTTTGACTTTATAATACCAGCTGCATTTCCATTACTGGAACTTCAGGGTAGATTTACAGGAACCTACCGACACTTTACTGGGCCGGCCGAACGGCCGTTATCATGAACCTTCTGAGTACCTGAGGGGTGGGTACTCGGAGTAGCCCAGTGAACAGCCCGGTGCAGGTGGTGGGTGGGAACGCTCTGGGATTGGTTGTAACTCAGTCGGAAATGGTGTTTTGTTCACTGCTAAACATATACATACATACATATACATGTATATATATATATACAATATATATACATGTATATATATATATATATATATACAATATATATACATATATATGTATATATATATATATATATATACATATATATGTATATATATATATATATATATACATATATATGTATATATATTGTATATATATACATGTATATATATACAATATATATACATGTATATATATATATATATATATATATATATATATATATATATATATATACAATAAATATACATATATATGTATATATATATATATATATATATATATATATATATATATATATATATATATATATATATATATATATACCGAAGAAACCGGAAGCTGTTAGCAGCGTTAGCTTGTTGTTTGTTAGCAGCGTTAGCTTGTCGCGTGGGTGTGTGAGGTGAACCTCTGAGGCTCTGCAGCAACAATGTCTTCAGCTCAGTCTCTGAGAGAGTTTATCAGAGAGCGGCTAACTGCTGCTGCAGCAGAAATATTCTCCGAGTTTGAACAAACCATCGTCCGCTACGAGGAAGAGATCGATCGTCAGCGCAGACTGCTGGAGATCAGCTGGAAACCACAGATCAACTTACACAGAATAGGTATGAAACAGCAGCGGGACTCATGTGGTTTTACTGAGGACACAATCTCAGGACAGTCTGCTTGGGTCCGTCTGCTGTTCTGAAGCTTTTTGACACAACTGAGCTGGTCAGTCGGTAAACTTTGTTCCACTTTAGAGAAATAAATCAATAACATTTCAGGGGTTTAGGACGTTTTCAGTAAAATTTTTATTTTCAGGAGCTTAGCGAACATTTTCAGCTGATGTTCTACAGTCAGACTTGTTTATAACAGTTTAGTCGGATCTGTTTGTGGACCAGTGACGTAGCCAAGAAATTTTCACTGGGGTGGCCAAAGGGTGATAGGAGGGGTGGTCGAGATAAGAACGAGCAGGTAAAGAAAACGGCTAAATTATTTATTTACACGTACACATTATAGTATATCAAATTCAATTGGACACCCGTGTTGCTCAGTCTCACTAGATGTTGGGAGCCTTTCAGTGCTGCCATTGTTCAAGTCTGCCTGGCCATGTTTATCTTTATCTTTGAATAAATTTGTCAAAAAAGGTCCTGTCTGCACAAAAACATTTACCTCATTATCAGGACAAGCTTAGCTTTCTATATATATGTAAATATTTTGCAGTTATTTTGTTTATAATTACCCAAAACAATAATGTAATAACAGAAAAAACAAAAAACGGATTTGATTTTTCTTCAGAAATTTATGAATAGAAAAAACTAATGTACATGAATAAAAAAATCTGACATAGCATAACTCAAACCTAACATTTATTACAACTTTGTATAGATTTTTTTTACATGTACAACTTTCAGTGTCTGAGTTTCAGGTGATATCGTCTGTCAATGTTCAGGCGTTTTTAGCTGCTGTGGTCTTCTGCAGAGCAATTCCTGTCCTGCTGCAGACAAAACCCTTTCTTGCACTCTTTGCACATCCAGGGAGTGTGTTTTTTTGCCCTGAATGTATCTGTTTCATCCCTGAGTGGAAGCTGATAGCCAGAGGTTCTTCTGGGGATAAATCTGTGTGGTGTGGGTTGACGGTACCTGGGTTTGATTTTCTTGTCCAGGAGTCCAGAAGATGTGGAGCATCTCCAGCAAGATCTTGTCTCTGACATTGCCTGTTGCTGGTGATGACTCTTCATCAGAAGAATCTCTATAATTAAAAATATATCAAATGATATAACATGTATTCAAGCACTAAATACTAGAAAATGAAAACTGAATAAAATAAAATACAGAACTAAAGCTAGAAATATATTTGAGATACTTACTGCGTTTGTGATGGAAAAACGATGTAGGCACATCTTGCTCCTCATCAACAAATCTTTAGGGAAATTTCCTCTTTCTAGAAGATTTCCTGATTTCTTTCATTATTTCGAAAAACGAATCTAACATAAAATAATAAAAAGCCTCCGTGAAAAACGTAGCTGAAAAAAAAGAACTACGGGTGGTAAACAAACACGACAAAACAATGTCAAAAATAACTATATATCCTAAAATTACTATATACAAACATAAAATAAGATGTTTACCGAAAAGATTTATTATTTACATCAATAGAAGAGATAGAAGTTGAAAATACGTGTCGAAAACAATTCCTCCGCTCCTCGAGGAAGTGTGATCATTTCCTGGTTCTTGGGCAGGGACTTTCGTAACATTACCGTAATGTGTTGTGTATCACTGGAAAGCGTAGAGCAGG